AGTGCAGCGTTGCAGCCGGTGCCGTATGAAGGGAACTGCGACAACTCTGTGCTTTAAGCGACAAGATAAGGATATGGCGATTTACCATGGCATGAGCGGCGTCACCGACGAGCACAATATTGCGGCGGTGGAAGCGGGAGAGGACGACTGCGCCACCAAACGAAATGCGTGGCTGCTTTGCGTAATCCTCACTAAAGTCGGAGTTTTGCTGACAGAGTAAATCATACACCTCGGGAGCTGTTTCCCTGTGTATACATACAACAGAGCCATGACAAGGGAGTTGCCAATGGACTTTACCTGAAGATACGCTCAACAGCAGCGCCGCTGGTTGCGTTTAGAAGCTCCGAATTTTTGGAGCCCCCCCAAAAGCTGCCGTCTGCCATGCCAACCAGCAACATGTTGAGAGCTGGCCAGCTCTGAGACAAGGGTGCGGCTCAAATCACATTAGATTCGCTTGCAGTCGGTGGACAGACCTGGACGTAATTGTGATGGACATAGAGTGGAGAAGACTTTGCCAGTGCGGGAGAGACGTAGAACGACTTGTAGCTTTCAGGATTGCGGGTATACTTGAAAGTGAGCGGGGGAGCCCTGGACACAATAATCAACCCTTTTGCGGGGAGAACATGAAAAGCAAAGGCTTACTCTGGTCGAGTCTCCTCCAGCCTCAACATCTCGCTCCGGGTCTTGCTCGAAACTCCATCAGCGCCGACGAGTAGGCCATACTCCACCTGTATGCTGTCGCCATCTGCACGGGCACACGAAACGCATTGCGTTTCACCCTGACGGCGCTAGAAGCATACCTTCGCGAGTGGATTGGAACACTGCCACGCACTTGTCATCGTCTATCTTGGCCAGCTCATATTCAAAGTGGGTCGAGACATGGCTCGCATATCTTGGGACAGACAGGCATAACATGCATGCAGTCGGTCTATCGAGTTCGCCTGTACCTTTGGAGAAGCACGCGCTGGAGGTACCACACAAGTCCGTTCCGGCTTATACCGTAGCTGGCACTGTTCCCGTTCGTATAGGTGAACACTCTCTGCAGCCGCATCCAAAAGAAGATTCTTGATGAAGAAGTCTTGGCCACGTACCGTCTTCTTGTTGGGCAGATGCACACAGCCTCCTACGAGTGGCCCCATGAGCGAGCTGGGCACTTGCACTTGTGCTGCCTGGAGCGCCTCAATGGCCCGGCAGGTAAGTAGCATTGTGTAGGAGCGGGAATCGCTTCCAACATATCTGTCTGCAGCGGAGCGGATTGAATTTCACAGAGCAAACACAATGGTTGTAACTCTACCTGCTGTTGCAGGTGGCGTCCTCTTGTCGAACAGATGGACGTGGAACCCTCGCCTGATGCAGTAGATTGCCGTCAGACAGCCCGCAGGTCCGGCTCCCACAATCACCGCGTGCGGTGGCGAGGCCATGGCCAAAGATAAAGAGACCTAGCCAGCTAATAGCTAAAATGTCTCCCCCTCTTCCAGCCAGCGGCCGGGACGGCGACGGCGGCGACGGCGGCGACGACAGCGTGCGACAGCTGCAGGAGTGCGCACCCGTGTACGAAAGGCTCCAGGTTACGTTGTTTGCATTCTGGTCGTAGCAAAAAGGAATTTGCGGTTTTGCAGGCATGCTTGATCAATACCAACCGGGACTGGAAGAATTGCCAAGATGGTTGGTTGGGTCTTTGAATGCGTGGTTTCTTACGGGATCGCCTCTCCGTGTGTCGCAGAGGTGAAGGCGCTCAAGGCGTGCCACGAGCACCGCAGAGCATATTCCCTTGCACAAACCAGAATGGTAAAGGGGGAGTAGTTATAACGGCAGGCGGCGGCCGCGTATGATAAAACAGCAGGTCAGGTGTGTGGGGTGACCCGTTGTGACCGGTCGTGGCGCTGCCGGCCAACCGGCGATAGGCGGTCAATGTGTAATTTCAATTTAGCCGAGAGGGGAATTTTTTCTACTAGTTTAACCGCGGCCATGGCTGCATGGTGCCATGGCGTCCATGGCGAGGTCATCATGGTCATGGATGCTGGGCATCTGCACTTGGAATGAGGAGTCTGAGGGAGCTAACTTTCTGTGCGGCGGATGATACGCAGGAGCAGGAGCAGCAGCACCATGGTGTGCCTCTTGGAGTGTTTGGAGTGTGCAGAGACAAGAAAGGCAAGGAGGGTCCTGAATGAATAGCAGGACCCATGTTGGCGAACCGGCCCGTGTGTGTTCTATGCCGGACACCTACGGCCACGCGCTGTTCGCT